ACCTGCTGCAACCACCCAGCAGATGGGGGGGAATAAAAACCAAACACCCCCTCACCCCCCACTTGGTCATCAAGTTTTTGACACCTTGCTAGGCAACTGGTGGTACTCGGATGTTGACATATCCTAAAAGTGGTACAATGGGTGAAAAGGTTGAAAAGCCCTAATGTTCTTTTGCTAGAATGGGAGAGAATTAAACAAAAATTTATACTAAAATACCTGAGTGGCTTTCAACAATGGAAGCGTTCGCTTACCCAAATCTAATCAATTATGATAGACTTGTTACCTATAAAGACATTTTGGACAAGGACAGAAAATTTAAAGAAAGATCTTCAACAACAAGGTATTGACTTAGCATGGTGGCCTTATTTGCAAATTCAAACAAGATATGAAAAAGATGCAAAGTCAATGGGATTTTATAAAGAACAGATACAACTTGATAAAATACTTTTGAAAACAGATGAAAATTTAATTAAGAAACCTCTATAAATTCCTCCTAAACTGGAAGATGGAAGAAGAACAAGTAAAAGAAACAATGATAGTTTGGGCAAAAAACTTTGGATATTCTATAGATTTAGAAGACTGGCAGAAGCTTTGGGATAGAAACATAAAACTTACTAAAGCAGCCTCATACAAAGAAAATTTATATAAAATGTTTTATAGATGGCATATGACACCAGTAAGATTAGCGAAAATGTTTAAAAATGAATTGAATAATTGTTGGAAATGTAAACAAAAAACAGGTACCTACTATCATATCTGGTGGGTATGTCCTAGTGCTAAGAAGTTTTGGTTTAAGATTCATATGTGGCTGGAAAAGATGAGTAAAATATAGATAGAATTTAAGCCAGAACTGTTTTTGTTGGGAACACTAGGACTTAATTATGGAAAAGAGAATGAATATTTAATATTACATGTATTGACAGCTGCAAGAATAGCATTTGCCCAATTCTGGAAAAATGAAAATTTACCATTTGACCAGATTATAATTACAAAAATTTTAGAATGTGCAGAAATGGACAGATTAACCTTAGTGATTAAAGAGAAAAAGACTCAGTTTATTTTAAAACATGGGAAATTTTTTTATCAATCGTTAGCAACACGATCTAGCAAGAAAGGATTGTAAAGTTTAATAGGATGAATGACATCTACTGACTAGCTATTATTTTCATGATTACCGCTATTGTTATTGATTATAGTTATTTACCATTACATTAATTACTGTTATTTAATATTTGTATCCGGACTACAGTCTGCTTGCTAAAGCGTGGAATTATTGTTGGAGGCAACACCATTTTTGTACCTACCCTTACCCTAATCCCACTACCGAACCCTATCCAATACCCATACTGATCCCATCCTTTCTTTATTCTTGTAAAACCTAATAAAATATTTACAAAAGAAAGAAAGAAAAGAAAAGACACAGCCTCTGGGATCTGGTTTATTTATCCGTCAAAATAAAGTGTGAGGAGCTGTTGAATGATTGTGCACAACAGAACCGGACTGATGTTATCTTTCCTGGATTTAACACATAGAAATCTGCCAGTCTGAATCGCCAGAAGAACTGTGGGGTGGGGGTTGCTTAGAACACTTTAAAACAGACATGTCAAACACAAGGCCCATGGGTCGGATGCGGGCCGGGGAGGGCCCAGATTTGCCCCCCCGGGCTGTCCCAGAAATGGCAAGGGACTGGCCCCCCGCTGCCCCAGCCCTGGCCCACTGGAACACAGCTGGGTGCCTTGGAGCACGTGCAGGAAACAGCAAGCGCTCGGGCTGGTGGTGTGCAGCAGCAGCTCATTTGCTTTAGCCCACCCCTCACCTCCCAGCTTAATCCCGTCAGGCCCGGCCAGGAGTGGAAGAGGAAGAGTCGGAGGAAGACGAGGTGTTACAAAAAAGGAGAGCTTCCCCCATTCTTCCACCCCTTCTCTTTTTTTTTTTAACTTCCTCCCACTCCGTTCAGGAAAAGGATGAGGAAAAGGATGAGGAGGAGAAAACAGGAAGTGTGTGTGTGTGTGTGTGTGTGTGTGTAAGAGAGACACAGAGAGAGAGACACACAGAGAGAGAGAGAGAGAGAGAGAGAGAGAGAGAGAGAGAGAGAGAGAGAGAGAGAGAGAGCGCGAGGGGG